ATAATTCATGTGTAATTGTTTTCAAAATATAAAAGTATTTTTCAAAGAAAGCAAAGAACATATCCCCTTCAGAGGCCCCTTGCTGCTGTGGTTGCCTCTGTGAGCCTCCGCTTTCTGTCTGAACAGGCGCACCGTCCCGTGCTGGGACAGGCTCCTCCGTCGATGTGGGACCAAGTGCATGTGCAGATGGCAGCCGCTGTCAGAATTCCCAGTCACGCTCTCCTGCGCACGTCCCCAGCCAGGCCCCGGGGACACACTTGAATCCAGCTCTGCTCACCCGGGCTCCGCAGACAGCGCCACGACACCTGCACAGCCTTCCCTTCTCTCTGGCAACCCTGCACCAGGCGTGGCCGGCGGCGTGTCTGCTGTCAGGCCTCCACGCACAAGGCAAGGCCAAGGGATGACAGGTTCCACTGCCGAAGGCACAGCGAGCCGCATTAATATCAGACGGGTTGCTAATTACGTGCACAGCGAGGTGTCCGCTGCCTGCGTCCTGGTCCCACCCAGAGCACAAGCAGCCGGCGCCTGTGGCACCTGGAGCCACGTGGACTGCAGCTAAGTGACGTTCGGCAGCTCTGTTCCGAGGGTGTGGAGCAGAAAGGCCCGTCCGAGCCGGGAGGCCGTGAGCAGCTTTCTCATCACAGCCCCGCAGAGAAGGCGGGGAGGCCCGTGGAGGTGGCCTCACAGCAGGGCCTCGGAGCTTCCCGTCCGCTCCGGGGGATCGCAGGGTGTCCCACCGAGACCAGACTGCCTGTGGTTCAAGCCTTTGCCCACGTGGCCCCTGTGGGTCCACATGAGGTTAGCAGGGCACCACGGCCTATAGTTACGTCCACTGTCATTTCCTGCCCGCTGCCAGCACTCTTGCTGTTTGCCCCGATGACCTTATTCCAACAATGGAGTTCACCACATGAGAGGAAGAACTGTCTTGCAACCTCGGTTTTGTCACTCCCTACTCGGGACTGTGGCAAGTCACCTAAGTTCCCTAAACCTCAAGTTTCCACATCTTTAAAATGGGGTAAGAATAGCTCCCTCAAGGTTTGTGGTGAGGGTTAAATGAGGTGATATAATGCCTGTTCTGGTTCCCTAGTGCCGCTCTGACAGGAATATACCATAAATGGGAAGGCCTTAACAAACAGGAGTTTATTCTTACAACTTGGAGGCTTTAAATCCAACTTCAAAGTGCCAGGCTCTAGGGGCTGGGTGAACGCCCCTCAGCCTTGGGCTTCAGCTCTGTCTCCTGCTCCCGGCCCACTGGAGCTAGAGGCTTTTCTTCACTCAGACAGCTGCTGGTTGCTGAGGCTGCCAAGCCCAAGGTTGACACGTAAGATGGCACAGTCCCAAACCACATGGCAGGCCATTAATTCAAGTCCATTGTAAGTCCCAAGGTTGGCAGAGCATAGCGGTGTGCTGAGCTACATGCAGGGTCCAAGGGTGCCGTAGGCTAGAGACCATTCCCCAAGGCTTCTGCTTATAGACAGGAAGCTGAGCATATTCCCTGAGGCGGCCACTCAGCTGCTCTCAGTAGACCCATCATGGAGTTGATTGCCAGTCTCACCATGGGGAATACTACATCCAGCTGCC